GTGACTATTATACTGCTCATAGGGGAATGCTGACCACTTCACTCTGTGAAAAGCAATCTCAAATGAGTCACTTTCAATAAAATATTAGTGTGAAATACAGTGGCCATACTTGTATTTTTGTGTCATCAGAATTCGATGCACAGTGATAGTCATTGTTGCAGATATGTTTGAGAAAAGGATCCCACAAATTGCATCAGTTTGAGAAACACGTAATTCATCTACTAATAGTTAACAGTAATTTTAACATTCTTTTTGGGATCTAAATAGCATAAAACATCACTTTTTAGATTAAGAGTTTGTTGTTGAAAAGAACTGTGGGTGGCAAGGAATGTAATTTTACTGAATAAATGAATAGTGAACCATCATAGTTACTGTGAGCAAGATTTCTTCTGGTAATTCATGACCCCACCCCTACCACCAGCATACACATACATACACAAATACACTCATATTATATACACATATACATATTCTAGATATCTTAGCCATTTCAGGCAATAGGAGTCCTTTCTAAAAAGAATCAGACTTGCATATAACGTAAGTGTCCTGAAAGTATGTAAAGACCAGGACATCATTGGACATGTCTGTGGAAGGAACAGACTAATACATATGATGAGAATGGAAGTGAGGAGTCAGGAGGCAGAGCAAGAAGGCTGATTAGAGTTGCCTGGGGCACCTTCTTCCCACACACACACAAAAAAAGGCCACAACAACTAACAGACAGTGAAATGTTGACAGAAGCATCTGTGGGAGAGGATAGGAGTGCAGCAAGAGATTGATGAGATCCCTATGGCAGCATAGAGAGGGGAGAAAAACAAAGGCTGTATTATTCAGGGTTCTCCAGAGAGACCGAATCAATAGATATGTTACAAATATGTGAGAGGGGATTTATTAGGGGAATTAGTTCATACAACTGTGAAGAGAAGTCCCATAATAGGCCATCTGCAAACTGGATGCAGGAATTGTCTCTCAGTCCAAGTCCGAAGGCCTCAAAACCAGGGAAGCCAATAGTGTCCTTGGTGTAAGTTCTGGAACCCCAAAGCTGAAGAGTCTTGAGCTCTGATGTCCACAGACAGGAGAGAAGAGTGTATCTCATCCTGACTCCAACAAATATAGACAACATACACAATAAATTAATAAATGTGATATACCACAATGACAAAATGAATGACAAAAGCCATATGATCATCTCAATAAATGCAGAAAAAGCATGTGAAAAAATTCAACATCCATTCATGATAAAGACTCTCAACAAATTAGTCATAGAAGGAAAAGATCTCAACAGAATAAAAGAAATATGTGAAAAACCTGCAGTTAACATCATTTTTAATGGGGGAAAGCTGAAAGCTCTTGCTTTAAGAACAGGAACAAGATAAGGATGCCCACTTTCACAACTCCTATGTAACATAGTATCTGAAGATCTAAACAGAGCAATTAGGCAAGAGAAAGAAATAAAGTGATCTACAGATTCAACACAATCCCCATCAAAATATCAATGGCATACTTCATAGAAATAGAAAAAACAATCTTCACATTCATATGGAACAACTAAGGACCCCTAATAGTCAGAGCAATCCTGAGCAAAAACATAAAATAAAATAAAGCTGGAGGAATTATATTACCTGACTACCTGACTTCAAAATATACTACAAAGCTATAATGAACAAAACAACATGGTACTGGCAGACACATACACCAATGGAACAGAATCGAGAATCCAGAAAGAAATCCACATACCTACAGTCAACTGATTTTTAACAAAGGAACCAAGAACATACATTGGGGAAAGGACAGTCTCTTCAGTAAATGGTGCTGGTTAAGTTGGAGATCCATATTCAAAGAATGAAACTAGACCTCTATCTCACCATATACTAAAATCAACTCAAAATGAATTAAAGACTTAACATGTAAGACCCGAAACTATAAAATTTCTAGAAGAAAACAAAGGGGAAACATTTCAGGACATAGGATTGAGCAAAGATTTTATGAATAAAACCTCAAAAGCACAGGCAACCAAAGTAAAAATAAATAAATGGGATTTTATGAAACTAAAAAGTTTCTACACAGACAAAGAAACAACCAACAGAGTGAAGACACAACCTGCTGAATGGGAGAAAACATTTGCGAACTATATATTTGACAAGAGATTAAGATCCAGAAAATACAAGGAACTCAAACAACTCAATAGTAAAAAAAACCCAAATCATGTGATTTAAAAAATGGGCAAAGGAGTTGAATAGACATTTCTCAAAAGAAGACACACAGATCACCAACAGGTATATGAAAGATTGCTCAACATCACTAATCATCAAAGAAATGCAAATCAAAACCTCAATGAGATATCATTTCTTCCCAGCTAGGATGGCTATTATCAAACAGACAGAACATGCTGGAAAGAATGTGCAGAAAGGGGAACACTTACCCATTGTTGGTGGGAACGTAAATTAGAACGGACATTATGGAAAACAGTATGGAGGTTTCTCAAACAACTACAGATAGAACTACTACACAATCCAGCAATCACACTACTGCTATATATCCAAAAGAAAGGAAATCAACAAGTTGAAGGGATACCTGCACTCCCATGTTTGTAGCAACCCCATTCACAATAGCCATGGTTTGGAACCATCCTAAATGTCCATCAACAGATGATTGGTTAAATAAAATGTACATATAGCCAATGGAATACTAATACTACTCAGCCATAAAAAAAAATGAAATTGTGCCATTCACAACAATATGGATGAGCTTGGAAAAAATTACATTAAGTGAAATAAACCAGAAATAGAAATATCACGTGTTCTCACTCATATGTGGAAACCAAAATTTTATCTTACAAAAGTAGAGAGTAGAAAAGTGCTTATTAGAAACTGGTGGCGGGGGGAAGGAGAGGATGAGGAGACAGTAGTCAGTGGGTACTAAATTGCAGAAAGATAGGAATAATATTATCTAGTGTTGTATAGCAATATAAGGAAAATAGTCAATGACAAATTACTGCATAACTTTGAGTAGTTAATTGAGAGGGTTTTGAATGTTTCCAACACAAAGAGGTAACAAATGTTTGAAGGGATGGATATGCTAAATACTCTGATGTGATTATTGCACTTTGTAGAAATGGAATCAAATATTACTTTGTACTCCATAAATATATACAATTATCATGGGTCAATTATGAAAAAAGAAAGAAAAAAGAAATAGGGAATAGAATAGTGGTTACCAGAGACAGGGAAGGAGAGGAGGGAGAGTTTGGTTAATGGGTACAAATTTACAAAGTTACAGTCAGATAGGGAGAGTGAACTCTGGTGCTGTAGGGTGATTATAGCTAATAAAATTGTATATTTCAGGATAGCCAGAAAAGAGGATCGCATAACCACAAAGAAATTATAAATGTTTAGGTGACAGATATGCTAATTATTCTGACTTGATCATTATACAATATATGCATGTATTGAAACAACAAACTATACCCCATAAAAATATACAATTAATCTTTTTTAAAGGAGTGGAAATGAGAAAGAGAGAGAGAGAGAGAGACAGTCCTGGTTATACTGAGACTAACTCCTAATTCCAGGCCTATGTTTGTTTGAATTAACTTAAGCTTTCACTGATAGCCTACTATGGAGGCATAAATTGTATATGAATAGATTTCATTTCTCACAGAGGTCTCAGACTGTTTTAGGATGCATTGCACTGTGTCATTATGACTAGTTTCTGTGGCTAAGAGTTGATTACAGTTACAGTATCAACAGAATCACAGGAATGGCCATGGGAAACTCTTTTTTTTAAGGACAAGAGAGGTAATATTTGTGCTGTGTCTTGAAATATAAAGGTTTTTCCAGAAAAAGAATGGTGAGATGGGCAAAACCATCTCCTGAACAAGAAAATTATGTATACTTTTAATATACAATTCCTGAAAAGCTGTATAAATGAGGATACAGTTACAATGTTTTGGTTCAATCTCTCACCAAAAATAATAAGCTGTAACTGAAAGCAAAATTATTTTTTAGCCACTTTTAAGTGGCTACTTCTCTATTTGGGTGACAATTTGTCTTTTGATGAAAGGCATATACTAGGATTATACAAACTATATTTTACCCAATCCCCACCAGCCAAAGACACGTATTGTTCTCATGTCTGTCACTATCTATAAAAAATTCCAGCCTTAATGGGAAGATATTACAGTTAAAATATTAGTCAAATCAACTGAGCTTTGAATACATCCAAATCAAACTGCAACTGGCAGTAAAATAGATATGTGTGGTTATTTACCAAGGCATAGAGAAGGAATGCTCATCTTGCCTTAGTTATTTAAGACTAAACTGCTAATCCATGCAAACATCAAATAACTTGACACTTTATATTAGAGAATTATGCAGAATACATCTTTCCTAACCCCAGAAACTTCCATCCCATAACCCTGGGAGTTCTTACTCTGTGTTTTTTCCTTTTATTTATTCTGTAGTTTGTTCCCCATTACTCCCTTAGCAGTCTAAATTTCTTGGCTAGATTAGGAGCACTTGACTTCAGCAGTTCTCTCAGGATTTAATTCTAATATTTCTCTCTGGTTTGGTAGGGGCAAGACAGTCTCCAAGTCTCGTTTTGTTCCTGGACATATTCTGGCTCAGCCTAGTCCTTTATCACCTGTCCTCTGGCAGTTCAGTCACCATCTACTCAGGAGCCATCACACATGGAAGGAGATGGAATTATTCCTTTTCCACTCAGTTTTCCTCTATCTTGGCCACTTTTTCTTAATTGGGTTTTATACCTAAGAACAAAGTGTTGAAATGGGATATTTGGTTAATTCTTAGCATTTGGGTTCAGTAGAATAAGTAGGATTTATACAGAGTGACCATAGTCTCCATGATGCTTAGAACATTTGGTTCAACTTTATTATAACAAAAAAGCCTCATGACAGAATGAAATGGAGCGAGGGGAAATGGAGGTGGATTTGGTCATTTCTAAATTCCTTGAGACTCCTGAAATCCCATGGTTTGATGATTCTAAGTAGAGAAGTAAAAGGAGAGTGTTTTAAAAATTTTACCCAGGGAAGATTTGACCTCCTTGTTTCTTAGACTATAGATGAGAGGATTTAACATTGGGATCACCACTGTGTAAAACACAGACACCACTTTGTCTTGGTCCATTGAGTAGCTGGGGCTAGGGCGCAGATACATGAACAGGATTGTCCCAAAGAAGATGGTGACCACCATCAAGTGGGAAGCACAGGTGGAAAAGGCTTTGCGCCTCCCTTCTGAAGAATGCATTTTCAAGATGGCAGCAAGTATGTAGAGGTAGGAAATGAGAATCATCATGAGACAGCTCAGTTCATTAAAACTGGCAAAAATAAAAATGACAATCTCATTGACATGCGTGTCAGAACAGGAGAGTTTCAGGAGGGGTGGAATGTCACAAAAAAAGTGATTGATAATGTTTGAGTAGCAGAAAGATAGGCAGAAGGTGAGGCCAGTGTGAATGGCAGCATTTATAAAGCCTGCCAAATATACGGCCAGCACCAGGAGGACATTGAGATGGGGGGACATCATGACTGTGTAAAGGAGAGGCTTGCAGATGGCCACATAACGATCATAGGCCATCACAGCCAAGAGAAAGCCCTCAGTGCCAGCAAAGGAAGCAAAAAAGAAGAACTGAGTGGCACATTCATTAAATGAAATGACTGGGTTCTCCACCCAGAAATTTACTAGCATATTAGGGGCAATAACAGAAGAATAACAGAAGTCAACAAGAGACAAGTTACTGAGGAAAAAGTACATTGGAGTGTGGAGATGGGAGTCGATTCTGATTAATAGGATCATGCCAAGATTTCCAACAACAGTGATCATATAGACAATTAGAAAAGCCACAAAAAGAAGGCACTGTAGTTCTGGATGATCCCGGAATCCCAGGAGAATAAATTCAGTCACTGTTGTGTGGTTTTTCATATCTTTGTTTCCGAATAGATGATTAATTTGCGGGGATAAAAAAGAAACCAAAATAGATATGTTAGTCTGCTTGACTATAGTAACCATTGCATTATCTATATGTACCCACCTATCTATATGGATGTCATAACATTATGTTGTAAATCTCAAATATACACAATAAATTTTATTTTACAAAAAAGAAAAAAAAAAAACCAATGAAATAAATTATACAAAAAGTTACCAGAAAATCAAATGGTTCATTCTCTTTTGTAACATTACTTCTAAGATGTTCTAAGAACATGTGTATTACACCTCTTTATTTTCTTATTGAAGAAGAAAAGATTCCTTAAGTAAGCTCAGTACTCTATTTTATTTAAAAATAACTCTGTGTAGGGGTGTGTGTGAGACCTTTGAGGGCTGGCTCCTACTTGTCTGTATCCTACTCTACCTCCCAATTTTTCTCTCTTCTTCCTTTGATCCTACTGTTTTAACCAGCAGCCCCCTGGTGATTAAATATACTGACAGAGTTAAATAAACTTGCTGTATCAAATTCTGCATTTCTCGTTTTCTCTTTGCCAACTCTAGTCACACTTTCCTTCCATCACTCCATGGAAACTGCTGTTATCATTCGTCACTGATCTTTATGTTGCTAAATCCATTGGTGAATTCTGAGGCCTTATCTTTATTGATCTGTCAATAGCATTTGACATCGTTGATTGCTTATTACTTCCTTGAAAGAGTTTTTTCTCTAATCTTCCAGGACATCAGATTCCCTGAGCTTTCCACCTACCCCATGGGTTCCTCCTTCTCATTCTTTTCTTTTTTCTCTTCTTCTTGATTCTATATGTTGCAGAAACTCAGAGATCTTTTTTCATCTTCTTCTTTTTTCTATTTACACTCTGCCTTGGTGATCTTATTCTGTTTCATGATTTAAAATACCATCTACATACTTATCATCCCTGAATTTATATCTTCAACCTTGACTCCTTTTCCAAACTCCAGAATTGTAATTCAGCTGCTTACATTTCCACATGGATATTAAACAGCAACTCATAACCAAAGCTGAATTCCTCGTTAGCTCACCTAGCTTGCTCCACACATCGCATTCCCCATCTCAAATCAATGACAACTATATACCTTCACTTGCTCAGATGAAGTTAAATAGACGAATAAATATCAGACAAATTGTTGTCTCTTCTCTTGCTCACATACTCCACAACGAATCCATAAGACAATTCTGTTGGCTCTACCTTAAAAAGACCTAAGCCAGCTACCTCCTACCACTGCCATTACTACCACCGAGTCCCAAGACAGCATCATCTTTTCACTTAGATTACTGCAATAGTCTTTTTAACTAATCCTCCTATCTCTAAAATCATCTAAAACCATTCCTCTTTCAAAAATTTGCAGCCATTCTTTAAGTCTCTTATAAATGCACATATATATATACACACAAACACACTCACATTATGTATGTAATAAATGCATAAATTGGCATAAATGAAATTATATTCTATATGATATATGGGATCCTATGTGCGCATGTGTATATATGAATATTTACATATGAGTGAAGCCACTTGTTTAGCTTTTGCAACTCTGCTTTCCTACCATGTGTACATAATGTAGATTCATATTCAAGAAATATATGGTGCCCCATATGCCAGGTATTGCAAAAGGACACTGGATTCATCATCCGTCATGGACATATGGATTCACAACAAACTGAATGAAGATAGAATTCTTGTAAAAGTATGGATTAAGCTCAGAGAAGTTGACTTGGTCAATGTCATAGAGCAAGCACAAGTAAACTACAAGATGAGGGCTAAAAATAATCATCAATTTCGTAATTTGTACATGTAATGGCATAAAATCATTTTATTGAATACCCTTCAGAGAATATTAAATATGTGAGGTGTTTTGGTATTCTGTATAAACAGAATTAATTGAAATTCCCTGTTTTTCACACACACATTTATGTATATATACCTGTATACATATATTCATGTGTGCACATATATGGATATGTCAAATATTTATGTATATATACCTGTATACACAGAATTAATTGAAATTCCCTGTTTTTCACACACACATTTATGTATATATACCTGTATACACATATCCATGTGTGCACATATATGGATATGTCAAATATTCTATAAAAGTTTTCATTGCTTTCCAGTGATCCTAAATATCTCTCTTCTAAAAACATCCAGGTACATAGTTTAGTGGATAACATTAAATTCATTGCTTCAGACATACTCAAATTGAGATGTTTAGTCTTAATTTCTTGAAAGTTTTTAAAGTCCTCTTGCATCTGAAAACCTTAAGATAAATTAAATAATCTTACCTTTTGTCTTTAAAAAATATTCACTGAAAGTAGTGATGCTTATTAGTTATCTTTTGTTTTTGTTTATTGGTTTTTGTAGAGATACAAGTTTTCTCTTTCTAACAGTCAGCTTTACAGCTTTAAAAAATTTTGCAAGTGACTTTAAAAAATCAGCTATGGCAGAATTCATACACAGTCAATTAATTCAACAATGTGTAGAATGTGCTGCTTCTGAATCCAAGGCAGAGGATCAGCCTTATTAAGGCTGTGATCATTCTCTTGAGATTTAGTCTCTGCAGAACACAAAAAGATCTAAAGTTTGAAATATGCTAATCCACATTAAATCATGCTTTTTTTTTTTCTCACTGAGGTAATTGAACTTCATTCCCCCAGTAAACAAACCATTTATACCCGGGAGAGTAACTTAGGAATTTAGAGAAAAACAAAAAGTATCTCATGATCCTGAGGTTCCATTGAGCACAGCATCGAATTGAATGGTATAGCACTGACCAGACCCTGCCTCCAAATTCCAAGCTTTTGGTTAAAATGTTATCCCTACTCATTCCTATTATAATATGGCTCGTACTTCATTCATTAACTTATTTATGTTTTTATTTATAATTTTATTAGCCATATTTTATTTATTTTTTTTTAACTTATTTATTTATTTATTTATTTATTATGAATATTCATCAGATACAAAGCTGATTGTCACCCTCCGTGCCCATGATATAAGTGCTAGATTCATACTGGCATCATACCCACCACAAATTGCATTTTATTTATGTTTTATGAATCAGATACTATCCTTGGTACTGGTAGAATCGAAAAACAATTCAGTCTTGTCCATTCCTTCATGCACCTTGCAGTCTGGAGTTGGGGGAGACAACTGTTACAGGGTGATATGAAAAAGTTAAGGCCTTATGTGGTCTTGCTCTCTTCCCAACACCTCTCTGATCACAGTTCTTTCCAAACTTCAGTTTTCTTACTAGGGTCCACATATATTTGTCTTCGCACTATTTCTTTAACAAACCAGGCCATCCTGTCTCACGGCCCTTGCGTTTACTGTGTGTATGCCTAAAAGGCTCTTCCACAAACATTCATATGGTATTATCCCTATTCAGGCCTTGCTCAAATGTTATTTCCACAGAGCACTCTTCTGTGACTCCAATACTCTCTCTTCAATTGCCTGCTTTATTTCTCTTTAGAGCACCACTCATATCCATGTCAAATGTGTGCACAAATGCATAGTCATGTGCACACACACATGCACGCATGCATAACAAATTTGATATAGACAGTAAAATCTTCCTCACTTAAATACTTGAGTAAGTTTAATGAGATAAGAAATTTTGTTTTGTTACATTTGCTAAATCTTCAGTACATATCACACACTAGTTTTTCAAAAACTAGTTTTTGNTCACTCTGTTCCACATATATTTGTCTTTGCACTATTTCTTTAACAAACCAGGCCATCCTGTATCACAGCCCTTGTGTTTACTGTGTGTATGCCTGTCTCACGGCCCTTGTGTTCACTGTGTGTATGCCTAAAAGACTCTTCCACAAACATTCATATGGTATTATCCCTATTCAGGCCTTGCTCAAATGTTATTTCCACAGAGCACTCTTCTGTGACTCCAATACTCTCTCTTCAATTGCCTGCTTTATTTTTCTTTAAAACACCACTCATATCCATATCAAATGTGTGCACAAATGCATAGTCATATGCACACACACATGCACGCATGCATAACAAATTTGATATAGACAGTAAAATCTTCCTCACTTAAATACTTGTGTAAGTTTAATGAGATAAGAAATTTTGTTTTCTTACTTGCTATATCTTCAGTACATATCACACACTAGTTTTTCAAAAACTAGTTTTTGAATGAATTATGAGTGAAGATATAAAAGGTGCCAATTTTCTTGCTCTAAGCACAAAGTAAAGAAGTACAGTAGAAATCATCAGATGAGTGGATACGGAAAATGTGGTATATCTACACAATGGAATATTACTCTGTTATAAAAAAGAATGAAATACTGCCATTTTCAATGGCATGGATGGACCTAGAGAGAATTATATTAAGTGAAATGAGTCAGGAACAGAAAGAGAAATATAACATGTTCTCACTTATTTGTAGGAGCTAAAAATAAATAAATAAATACATCAATAAATGGGGTGGGAAGGGAAGAAAACACAACAATTACAGTTCCTTGAAGTTGATATGACAAGCGAACAGATATGAGGTTGCTGGGAGGGAGGGGAGAGAGGCAGGAGGAAGGGAGGTTTCAGTAATGGGTCACAATAATCAANCACTTAATTGAAATAAACTATTTTTGCCAGTTTCTACTTAAAAACATTCATTAAGGGAATATTTACTGAACAACAGTATGTGTCAGACATTGTTCTGGACTGGGAAGAATGCATTAGTTAATCAATAAAATATAAATTAAAATGCATATTATGCAATATAGCAAATAATGGAATGGATATATTTAGGAAAGAAGGAACATGGAAAGACGCAAAGGAGGTAAATTGCAATTATCATAATGTAATTGATGAGGTTCCCACTAAGAAGAGATAAATATGAAAGGAACCTTGTAAACAGCCTGAGAGCCTTCCAAAAAGGAGAAAACAAAAGCAGAAAAACTGTGGGAGAAATATATTGTGATAAGAGACGCTGTATATTTATATTGTTGAGATGTTTATTAATCCCACTTTAGAGAAATATCCTCAGATTGTACTCCATGTTTAGAGAGACTCAATTGAAATTAGAGAATAATGATAGCCATGAAGTAAGGAAATGATTTTCAAATAGTAAATAATAATAA